GAAGACTCCCAATATTGTTTTGACCAGTGGAAAAAACGATTTAAACGGTGTATGGTGAGGGGAGAGGAGGACATTGAATCCCCCTCAATGTCCTCCCCCAAATTCCATTGTAGATTAATTTTTAAAATAAAACTCTTTTTCGTAAGCAGTCTCGTTTTTTAATAGCCGGGCTTCGTAGATGTTCAGATAGCGTAGGTGATAGAAGAAGGGAAATTTGGAGGATTTTAGAAATTGGAACCAAAAATAAGTACGAGAAGGAAAAAGAGGAGGTATTAAGGGAATTATTAAATTAGGAGCAGATAATTCCGCCCATCATTCATACGAATTTATTTCAAAAATGGCGCGGTGAACTTATTTTTGAATAAATTATGCAGAGCACAACATCAGTACAATTCAGGAACAATTATTTTTTTTATCAAAACTGGCGGGTCAAGTCATTAGACATTAAATGTTAGCGTTTAAACGCGTTTAGGTAGGTGCTATGATTGATGATTTATTATTTAAAAAGAAAACAATAACTTTTCGTGAAAATTATCTGAAAGTAAAGAAGAAGAAAAATTTAAATTGAATGTATAGTGGTTACAAGAACGAACGTTTTAAAATTCCTACACACTTTCTTTCTAGGTAGTGAAATCTTTACAAACAAACGAAACGGTGGCGGTGACCTTTGAATGAGATTTACTTTAACAACTTCAATAACGATTAATTGTGTAATTGGTTTTGTGTGCGTTTGTTCTGATTCTGATAAATTATGTGGCCATTTAACGCCATTTTAAATTATAGCCAACACCCCTGTTTACGCCAGCAACAATATTGATTGGAAATGTTCATTAAACGAATTAGCTAACCAAGAGAAAGTTATTATTGTTCTTATTTGTTTCCTTGATTTGGTTTTATTTTAACATAAATAATAACAGAATTGTAAATGTCAAAGTATAGGCAGTATATCGCCATCTATACATATATATTTGCTACTGACTTTAGTATATAGGGCCTTACGGAGTTATCTAAAGTCTGGTGGAGGAATAATGTATGAATTAATGCAGAGTTTAGAGACTGCATTGATGTAAATAAAAGTTTGGCTTTGACTAGTAATTCGGGATTAATTGATATAGCTTACGCTTTTCCCACCTAGCCGTCTTGAATTATACATAAGTATAGACTATACCATCTACTGAAGCGGCGAAACAGTGAGACGTGATAATATCATTAAGTTCTGCGTGCTGATGAGAGCCAATCAGCTCGAAAACGTGATCCACGTCTGTGAATTTCGATAAATTAATGATTAAGAACGTAATGTACTTGAATTTATAAATTATACCACTGCTACATTTATTATAAACAATTATGGCATACTCATTGTAGCATTCGTGGTTCAGTGTTCCTATTGTTTCTAATTAATTTCTTATTGTTTAAAAATCAAGGGTAAAACAGATATTTTCTCATATAAATATAAAATGTACAACTTACGTACAAAAAGCTGAAAAGGATACACCTAATTCTCATAATCTGTGGTCAAAGTAGAACGTGTCATAGTAAGTAACTATACGTAGGTACATTACATCGATTTTATAGTCTTAACAAGAAGATAAAAGAGAAAGACAAAACGGAATCTTTACAAACTTTTCCTTTACATAAATTCTTAGCACGTAGAAAATCATTAGTCCACTAAATAAGTGAAAATAATGGCAAACTACTTATGCGGTCATGTAAATAAAATGTGGTTAAATACTTACGGCATTCATCGTAGTTCCTTCAGCCTACATTCTTGTACAAAGCCGGAGGGTAGGGCGGAAGGTTACTTCCAGTCTCCTTTTAGGAATCGTGAAAATGGATAGGGGTTGTTGAGGAGAGGAAGATGAGATGGACGAAATGAAAAGAGAAGAAAAGTGAGGAACATTACTGTCCCCGCATTTGTCTAAATAATCCAAGAAAACCACATAAAAATTTGTATTAGGATTGGCTGACCTGGAATCGAATGCTAAGCAATAGTCTAACCCTAACCATTTGGGCACGTTACTCGGTGTCCTATCTTGATCCAGTCCTTGGTGTTTTATAGTTGCCATGGTCTTATAATGAAAAGGCTTTGTCTTTATGAACAAGGAGATTTTTAGAAAAAATTTGTTAGGGTTAATTCACTTTAATTTATCTTTGTGATTTAACAATCTACTTATCCTTAACTGAAAAGTGTGAAAGTAATTTTACCTAGGGGAAACATAAGGGAAAGTTATTCTCTTGTAAAATACGTGACTATAACTTAAAAAATCTTTTGTCAAAATTATAACTATTACCATTAGATTAACATTTACCATTTCTACTTCGGAAACGAGGAACTTGATTTGAATTGATAATATTTCCATTTCAGTTAACAAACGAGGCAAAAAATCATCACCAAAACAACTAAAACAACAAAATTCATTGTCCTTATAAGGACTTCTATTATTAAATACACTGGTTAAGTAGTAAGAGATACAGTTATCAATTAAATTTTTGATAACACTCGACATATATTCCTATACTTTGTTTATATTGTATGTATAAATAAATTTTGTGCATTCTTTCTCAAGAATTTTTTTCAACCTGAATTGCAGTATTATCGATATAATATCAAAATTAAAATAATTCGAAGTGGTCTGTATTATTTCATTCGATTAAGCTAACGTGCCTATCACGTTGAGGTTGGCTACGCCGGGATTCGTTTTCAGCAAGTAGATATCCACACAAGTGGACCTTGTTGAAGCATACGTAATCCTAAAATGTAGCATCGTGCTACAGATGGCGTTTATTGCGCCATTTGTAGTATTTTCTAAAACGCACTGTTAAGACAGCAGGTAAAAGTTGGTCTGTGTTCTGTCGGGCTGCCTGCGCCGCGCTGATGAGATCCAAAAAGATCGAAATCGCGATCCGCGTCTGGCAGTTTCGACAGAATACAGACCACTTCGAATTATTTTATTCGATTATGGTAACGTGCCTATCACGTTGAGGTTAGCTACGCCGGGATTCGTTTCAGCAAGTAGATATCCACACAAGTGCACCTCGTTGGAGCATACGTAATCCTAAAATGTAGCATCGTGCTACAGATGGCGTTTACTGCGCCATTTGTAGTATTTTCTAATATCAAAATTGTTTTCAAAAACATGAAAACAGAGACAAAGCAGTGGTGTAGCGTGAATTTCTGCCATATGGGACGGTGTCTTTTGCGGCCCTTGATGACCTATGACCTTAACCTAGTTGAACATAATTGATTCTTTTATTCGATTGACTAGGATCGTAAGGAACGGTAGGTAGTGTTGTAGTAGTCTTATCCTTTCTTAAAACTGGCTTAGGCTAGGTTGAGATTGGGTTAGGTTAGGTTAGGGTGACAATCAATGAACATTTCGATTTGCAAGTTGAAATTTAAAAAAAAATATATATATGTTTGACCCTTCTAGACCTTCATAATGAAGTGTAATTGTTCGTAAAAGAGAATTCGAATAAAATCGGTGCACTTCCGCCCAACTGGTAATACGAGGGTGGATTGATAAGTTTCCGGCCTGACCAAGAAAAACAAGGTTTTTAAAAATTTTTTTTTTTTATTTCTCAACATAATCTCCTCCAAGGCTGATACATTTCTCATAGCGGTGTTCCAGTCTATTAATGCCATCTCTATAGACTGATTCGTCAAGCTCCTCAAAATAACCATTTACAGCTTCGATTACTTCTTCATTGTCCGCAAATCTCTTACCGCCAAGCCATTTTTTGAGATTAGGGAACAGAAAATAGTCACTCGGGGCTAGGTCTGGAGAGTAAGGAGGGTGCGGCATCAATTCAAACTTTAGATCGTTGATTTTAGCCGTCGCAACGATTGACGTGTGCGCTGGTGCGTTATCGTGATGAAACAAGATTTTTTTCTTCGCCAGATGAGGTCGTTTAATTTTCACCTCGTGGCTCAAACGTTGCAATAAGTCTGCGTAGTATTGACCAGTGATAGTATTACCCTTTGCAAGGTAATCAATGTATATAATACCTCTTGCATCCCAAAAAACAGTAGCCATAACCTTGTTCGCCGAAAAAATTGTTTTTGCCTTCTTTGGAGTTGGTTCCCCTGGTCCAATCCACTGTTTAGACTGTTCTTTGGTTTCAGGAGTGTAGTGGTGGACCCACGTTTCGTCAACGGTTACGAATCGACGCAAAAATTCGCTTGGATTACGCTTATACAATGACAAATTTGCGGTAGAAATGTTTTTTCGAATCAATTTTTGGTCGACTGTTAGCAAACGCGGCACCCATCTTGCACAGAGCTTTTCCATATGCAAATGTTGGTGCAAAATATGTTGCACACGTTCATATGACATCTTACAGGTCTCAGCTATCTCACGCACTTTCAATCTGCGGTCTCCCAGCACTATTTGATGAATTTTTTCGATCATATCTGGAGTTGTGACCTCAACGGGGCGTCCTGAGCGAGGCCCATCAGAGGTGCTCACACGACCCTTTTTAAACTCGGAAACCCACTGCTTAACGGTTGAATATGACGGGGAGGATGTCCCCAGTGTTGAGTCCATCTCTTTTTTAATTTCCTTCGGCGTTAACCCCTTCAAATAAAAGTATTTGATGACAGCACGATTTTCCTGCTTTTCCATTTTTACGAAAACCACAGAGGCGTCTTGTTCAGCGTGCTGTCAAACCTACACTAGCAAGGAGATCGGGCTGAAACTATAGCTACAAGCTATCCAAGGATGGTACTATAGAATGTCACCTCAAGGTAGGCCTAGTGGCGTCATCTCTTGGTTAGGCCGGAAACTTATCAATCCACCCTCGTAGAAACACATTCCTGATAAATTGTTTGTGCATATCGACAACCAGACATCAGACGTTACAGTCATTACCTACAGGTGACATTTTTGCAGTGAGCAGAAATAATAAAAAGTAATTATATGTCTCCGTTCGCAAGGTTGTGGTTGTTGAATGAGTTTCGTGACCTAGATAGCACCATAATAACCACTTTCTATTTCTTTCAGAAACAATGTGTCCAACCCGCCCAGTCGCCGTCCCGTTGCTGTTGTTTTTCACCGTTTTGCAGGTAAGATATGAGCCAGATGCTGTGAATATGATATTCACATTTGCATGCATACTTCTTATACGTCCTTCTTATGGTAGCTAATACCAGGACTTATCAGAAAGTAAAATTGTCACTGTTTTATGATAGCTCAATGCTCTTCGACAAATATACCAGTCAAAATTTCCCATGATTAAATATCCCAATATCAATATTTTTATCTCATTTTGATAAATACGAAATACCCTCGCCGGGAATCGAACCCGGGATCTCTTAAACTCAGGATGACATGTTGGGTGTCCAAACTATATTATTATTATTACCCTCCGGTTTTCTCAATTTCTAGTTAACTTTAAACAATTGAAGATAGGCTGAAGTCAAAGAACCTCACTCACATCTTTCGGGGTACTCTGAAATATTATCGGTGATTATTAATAACTCCGCTTCTAATTTAACCCTTGCACGGTCAGTCTTGGTCTTGGTCTTGCTAAAAATACGCGGTCTTGTTCTTGGTCTTGGTCTTGCAAAAACGCAAGAACAAGACCAAGACTGCAAGACCAAGACTGNTTCTAGTTAACTTTAAACAATTGAAGATAGGCTGAAGTCAAAGAACCTCACTCACATCTTTCGGGGTACTCTGAAATATTATCGGTGATTATTAATAACTCCGCTTCTAATTTAACCTATTGTGTTATCTGGAAAGGGGGATATGGGATATGATATCAAGTATTACTGATTTTCGTTATAGTCCAAAGAATAACGGTTTTTGACTTCGAATTCTTTAGGGTAAGGCCGATTGAGGTAATGTTTGGACAGTGTAAGTATGTGTCATGTGTGCTTTAACCCTAGGGGTGGATACTAAACCTTCTAAAAGGTCAAAGTTGGTTCCCTCAAAATAACTGCATAAATCGACAGGGGGATGAATTGCAAGCAAAAAATTTTGAAAATTAGTAAGCTTAATTACCAATTTTCGTTAAAATTGGTGCTGCCCGAAAGAATTCACAGGTAATTCCACATTCTTTTCGTTGTCCACTGAACATTAAATCCACAGTGGGGTTTTATTTTCTTATTTTTATTTCTCATTCTTATGCTAGGCAAAATAAATTGGGCGAAATTTAGTAACAGTTATTGCAGTAATTTCTGTTTGTTTTTTTCTAAAGGTTATTATTTGATACTTCCTCGTATTATAGGCCTGGTAATTTCTGTATCGGTCCGTTTTACTTTCACTTCACTATGGTGTATGAGTTTGTATAGAAAGGGACAGCGCCTTTGTTGTTTACACAACGCTTTTTCTTCAATTTTTCCTCGGGGGATGAACAAAAAAACTTAATCTGTCTGTTGTATTTACACGCATGCACGTGTGCATGCATTTATTGTAGCGTAAATGTTTGGGTATCATGTTAATATGGAAAGAAAGGAAGTGAATGTACGGAAGCAATAAACTTATTTAGATTTCGTCCAAATAATATCACCTTACAGTAAAAACGGAAAAGGAACTACGGTTTTGACGGATTTTCTCAGAGGTGTTATATAGGATTAATTCTTAATGACTATTTAAAATTTGGCTTAGTCATAAATTGTTTATTAATATACATATACTTGGTACGGAAAAAAATACGTCCAAATATGGTTTAAAAAATTTTTTTCTGCAATATAAACTGGGTATTCCTATTTATAAAAAGTACTAGTTAAGTATCACAGGGCCTCACGGGAATACCGGACTCAACATTGCTATTATAAATTAAAACGGACCACTATCGACGAAGTGAACATCTGCTCATCAAAACTTTTGTTTTCGACATTTTTCTTTTATTTCGAGTTGTAGTTTTAGTTTTTTTATATTATTATTTCATCTGTATGTAGTTGAAATTTCTTCGTTCTTTTGTTTTTCTTAGGTTTCTCGTCTAATTTTCTTTTAGGCGCACATTTGTTCTTAGTCTCTGTTAGCTTTTTTCTTGTCTTCTGTAACCTTTTCGCGAAATTTCTTTTAATCTTTTTCTTTCGTGATTCTGCTTATTATTTTCTTTTTATATGGTTAAATCAAGTTATTCTTGATTCTCTTTTACTGATTTTAGTTTTTAAATGTAGCACTTCAGGAAACAATTGTTTCGGACTTAGAGAGAGAGACCAGCAAGTAAATAGGTATTCATGAAATCAATCTGACTAACTTCAATGTCACTGCTTTCTATGGAAACGTAGATAATCCTTGTCCTTTTCTTATTAATTCACTAAATCGTATAATTATCTGAAATGCCAACATGTCCCATGTTAGTACTTCATTTACAGTGATTGGTACAAGGTAATCAATTGGTATAACTATTTGCTGAGATTGATGTTGATTTTAACAACTATTAGGTCAATTTCTTCTATGAAAGTATAATCTGAATCACAATCTTCATCGTCATTATTTAGCATCATTCATGGCGAATGAGGGAATTGGTAGAATGAATCTGAGCAGTTGTTAATTGATCATCCTGATCTGAAATGAAATCATGATATTAAAAACAGTTCCGTCTAATGGGCAAATTCCAGTTGTACGAAACCCATTGATGGTCAATTCAGCAAGTTGAGTTATGTTATATCGTGGTATGCTGCAGCTTGAGTCTTTTTTCGTACCCACTGGTGAGCTTCTTCAGCAAAATATTTTTTTCGATCAAGTGGCTGCATATTGTGACGTAAACGTGGAGGCAGTGATAAAAGTTGGGCACGGCTGGTACGTGCCTACTCAAGAAGTCGATAAGTTCATATCACGGATAGGACTTGCATGACCATCTAAAAGGGCAGGAGAAACAGCAGAAGGCTTTACTTGTGTAAGAAGTGTTTCAAGTTAAACTATTTTGTAAAAAGATTAGTTCCAATTGAGCCTGATAAGTGACAGGCGTGATTTTCTTCACATGGTACTTTTGAATACATTTCAGTCGACATCTATTTGTCTTTCACGCTTCTTCTTAGCGGCGTTTTTGAATGTACAAGTGCCTGTCTCGTAGGATAATGGTAATAACTTATTCTTACCTTCTTTTAATAAATCATGAAAAATGTGGACGTTTTCTTTACTGAGGTTTTTTCCTTTTCCAAGCAAATGGAGCAGATAGGAGGACTATTTCGCCATCAGTTCATGTAAAATTGAGCAGATTGCCTTCTGAATTTGGCTATTCTAAACTAACTATAATCTAACCTTGAAGAGATGCATAATTTATTTTTTGTTTTTAATGTTATGTAACTCTTGAAGGCTAAGTTATGGTTAGTTTAGGATGTGTTAGTTCTGTCTAATTACACGAAGCCTGTTCAAAAAGTATGTGTGAGTAGGGGCGTTATCATGGTGCAAAAGCCAATTTTTGTTCTTCCACAAATCCGGGTGTTTCTGGCAGATTGCTTCGCGCAAATTGCAGCTAATATTTTTTATTGACAGTTCTACCCTGTGGCAATAACTCATGGTACACCACACCCCTACAATCGAAAAAAAAAAATAACATTCGACTTGGCGCGCTTTTTTTGGTCTTGGCTCGGGCGGCAGCTTCCATTGGTTTCCAAGTCATAACCATAAACCCATGATTCGTCACCAGTTACGACCGTATGGAGCAAATTTGGGTCTTCGGCGACAATAGTCCAATAGCTCCTTAGTAATGTTAATGCGATGCTGTTTTTGGTCGAAATTGAGCAATTTTGGTACGAATTTCGCGGTAAAAATCGAATGGCAGGAGCCAATCAATATGTTTAGATCCTCAACAAATTCTCTAACGGTGATTCGACGATTGGCCAATACTATTTTCTTCACTTCAACAATGTTTTCGTCTGTTATTGATGTGCTCGGGCGTCCGGCACGTTCTTAGTTGTTTATATCTTCTCGGCCCTCCACCAGCACCCATATACGTTGCTTTGGTCCAAGGTAGCTTCACCATATGCCACAATTAACATTCGGAACGTGGCCGCGCACTTAATTTTGTTTTTAACACAAAATTTGATAAAAATTCTTTGGTCCATTTTTTGGAATAGGCAAAAATCATGTAAGCAAAGCAGCTGTCACAACTGCATCGGAAAAGAGTATTACCTTATACAGGACACATTAAAAAGTATGTAGTATGAGAAGAAGATCGACAAACGATTCTTTGTGGATGTAATTCCACGCACGCAACACTTTGTGGTTAAAACATTCAGGGAGAGTGGAGTGAATAAAATGAAAAGAAGCTTTGGACATCTGATAAGATCTACTAATTTCTTTCGGCATCAGAATAATAAAAGTTGCCGTTACTTGCACACTTCATTTGCGCATTATCGAAAATATAATTTTGTCTACATGCCAATAGATAATAAAGTGGTCGTGAAACAAACACTAGTGAAGTAAAATTTTTACGCTTGAGCAAAAGCGTGACCTCGGATTTATTTGAAGGCGTGTTTCTTAATCTGTCACATGAAAACTTCCTGTTGTGTATTTTAATTCGTAACAGTTAAGTCTCGTATTTAAATTGATTTAAAGGAATAAAACCGTTTAGCATGCAACATTCTTGCGTTTTAACGCAGAAAAAGTGCCTATATCCTATACAGATATACAAGGACAATTAAAAATCTATGGGTATAATTAGTTGAACCCATCCAAATTGGTACTGTTGTCGATGGGGCACTTGCATCTACACGTATGCGTCCATTACTCCGATTATCTATTTCCGTTTGGTCATTTTTCTGGCATTCAGAAATTCCGTTTGTTATCGGTTAGGTTAAGGTGGCTAACAGTTCCCCCTTTTCCTATTTATAGTTTCCTCCTCCGGAATTATTTACTGCCGGTAAAATTCTATGCGAAAAAATTGATCTGGAATCGCAACCAACATTATACTTATGCCACCTAGGGATTTTTTTTTATTCACACATAGCAATGAGGGAAAAAATTTTCACTATAACCCAATATCTTACATTTCTCGCAAGTCGATCGGGAATTTTTTTTTCTCCATAACGTAACGCAAGCCCGAGATGTATATGGTTGCCATCCGTCTCAATTGTCTGCGTTATTGAGCTCTATTTCTCTACGTTCCGAGAAAAGACTGAATTGTTCCCATTTAAGCTGCTCAATGCAAAGAAAATTTACCAAATTTATTGGCTTTCAAACCAAAATGCAAATAAACAAGTTTAAAAATAAAAATCCTGAAACAACGATTTTGATTTCGACATTTGAAGAAGAAAGATGTTATAACACATCTTCTGAGTTTCTGAAAAAGTGGTCACTTTCATTTGATAAATATGAATTGTTCAATTGGGTATATATATATATGAATTCACAGATTGGAAAAAAATTAAATTAACATTAAACACTATTTTATAATTACATTAATACTAATTGTGCGAAGACTCAACGACAATCTGTTTGACAATCTTAAGAGTTAACTTAAAACATGCCTCATAATTCTTCTTCTTCTTTTGAAGCTGTCTTCTTAGTGAACGTTGACGACCACAAAAAAAAAGAAAACTTTTGGAAGTTTCATTCCCACCAGCCAGTAATGCTGGTGGGCGGGCAGTCCCTCCGGACTATGCCGGAAGGTAGGGCCGAAGGCCCTCTTCAGCCTGCTTTCAGGAATCGTGGGAATGGGTGGGTGGTGGTTCGGGTGAGAAAGTTGAGATGGATGAAATGAAGACAGAAGAGAATGAAACATTATCAGTGGAATATTACTGCCTCAGCATATGCCTAAGTGGTCCAATGAAACCACAGAAAAACTTGGACCAAGGTAGACGGACCCGGAATCGAACCGGCGTCCTCCCAAATGCTAAGCAATGGTCTAAACCTCTAGGCCATGCCGCTCGGTGACGACCACATACAGAAGTATCTAAATGGGTTTCTGTCTCTTCCATTACGAAGCACAGATTTGTCCATTCCTTTATATTTCTGAGTCAGGTTTTTTCTTCCTGCCGATAGTTTTCTTTCCCTCTATTCTACCCTGCATTATGTTTTGTAGCAGTAGGTATATGTCGTTACGTAAAATGTGTCCTATATAACATGGTTTTCTTATCTTAATAATTGTTAACAATTTTCTATTGTTTTTAATGAGTCTTTTAACACTTCGTCGTTGTTGATTCTGTCTTTAGGATGGATGCGTCTATAGATATAGCCACATCTCAAATGATTCGAGTTTTTTAATCATTTGAGATTTCAAACCCCACTCTGTACAATAATACTGACTACACATACCACTCCACAAACCTTCGTCTGATGTGGAGGTTCAGATTTCTGTTTGCAATCGATCAATTTAGTGGAAAAGAAATGGAAAAACCTTCAAGAAAATGTCAACTGTTCAAATTATGCGAATATTTGTTTGCGTTACCTGTGTACAATGCCACAGTGGTGAGAGACAATTTTTCTCTGTTTAAGTTTACGTAAATGTTGACCAAATTGCGTTGAATTTCTGTGTCACATGTGGGCACGTTTGCGAATTTTGTAATCTCGTTATTACACAAGTTGAATCGTAACAAGCGCAATTAATTTCGTAGTGGAAATTACTCGTTATTAGGATAATCAGTTTAATGGGTGTTACTAAACTGATGTCCGTCTGGAGACCTATCACGATATTAACCGTAACTTATATTTTTCAAAATTAACGTTGGTTAATTATTAGAATTATTAACCAGTGGATTTCATTCCATTCGTACATATATCTTCTTTGTAAAAATGAACGCGCTCTTTGAGTTTTTGATGATTATTTCAGTACAGTTTACTATAATTTGTTTGCAATGAATATCGAAGGATCGTGCATTTTCTTTCGTTAATTTTGAAAACAAAAATACTGGCAAGTATATTAGGGAGGTAAAGGTAAGGTTAGAGGTTACATAAATATTGGAGAAGAAAAGCTAAGAAGAGAGGACGCGTGGGTTGGAACAAATTCCGTTAAAATTCAGTCAAGTTGAGGCAGGAACAGGAGATAAGAGGAGTAGAGGTAGACCTAAATTAGATTATTGTTCGTAAATAGTTAAGGATGTGAGATGTTCCAGTTTTAGGGAAATGCGAAAATTAGCTCAGGATAGGAAAGAGTGGAGGTGCGTGTCCAACCGGTTTTAGGGCTGACGACCTTATGATGATGAAGCAGTTAATTTGGGTTTTATGTAATTTTGTAGTTGGTTTAAGTACATGAAATATAGTCAAAATTCGATGCAGAATTCACAAATGTAATAATAAAAAAGAAAGTCCGTGATAGTCGCTTTACCATAAAAAAAGCGCAATCAATAATAAAGATCGACGTGTCTTAGCGGTTTTCCAATTTACAAATCCCTGAATTTTAAATGAATTTGTTCCAACCCATGTTCCTCACTATATACAATATAGGAAGTCACAGAAGCCAGGATTCGGTAGTGACATTAAACAAAGGGTAGTACAAGTCGAGTAGCTTTTAATCGAAGGAAATCTCCTCTGTATATTCCGTAACGATTAAATCAGAAATTTAAAAAAGGTTTTATTAAATTTCAACTCAGTAAGTGCGAAATAATAAAGCTAGAAGTGTTTATGTGTTATTATAGGCGGGTGATGTAAACATTGTGAATCGAAAACGTAAGAAATGAGGAGGGTTATGGAGGTCAATAAGAAATAGGCCACCGCAGATACGAATAAGGGGTAGTTAGGGACAAACTTAGAAGTAGAAAACAGGAACAGGATAAAATAGATGCGAAAAATGACTTAGATTACGTTACTGTTCGCAAATGGTTAAGGATGTGGTTTCAATTTTTGGGGAAATGTAAAGATTGGTTTAAGATGAGAAAGAAAGAGAGTGCACGTCAAATCAATCTTCGGACTGATGATGACAACTCTATTGTGATGATGAATTCAGAAATAAGGAAAAACATGAGAATTTATAAATTAATTTTTCAGTAGGTACCTGATACTGAAACAAAATTGTAATAATGAGTCAGAACTTTCATCCAATATTATATTTTCTCTTCTTTTTGAACGGCACGTACGTATACTGAAGTATTTGTTTCGTTAACACAAAGTTTTTCCTTTTACAAGCAAAGTTAATTGTTAAAATATGGCGTATTGATTCGTTATAGAGAATAACGGTTCCGATTCAAAGAGTTAATATATATATGAGTTAAGGTTAAACAATTCAACCAACCAAATTAATAAAATTGTCTGTTTCTAGTAATTACAATTAACTTTAGAAAAAATAACTTTAGTTTTCGAATTCCAAATTCGGCTTTCAAATTATTTTTGTGCTTAATCAGTTCTTTTCATTAGGAATTGTGTTTTTTAGAGAATATTTAGCTTCTTTTAAGTATGTTCTTTAATTCTATCATTAAAAGAATGGTCTTTATGCTCAACGTATATTCTGCTAATCAAGCTCCAATTATCATATGCTATTAGAATGCATGCAACCAACTGTACACTCAAGTGTATTCATTTAGACCTGCCCACTTCTTTCCAATTGTTTTTTACCGCCTCAAATAGGTAGGCCAAAACTGGGAGTTTCAATTAACGATCTTGATTAAACGGCAATGATCAGGATATTGAAAATAGACATATAACGCGATTCGATATTTTCATTAAACATTTTAATAGTCAGGTATTTCCAGAATTTAATATTGCAGCAACCGTAACAGCAGTAGTTTCTATGATCAATAAATAATCATTGTCACTTTTTACTTCATTCATACAATGGTCAATAACAATACAAAATTCGGACACCGTGACATTCCAGTTTAGTAACGAAGAAAAAAGTGTAACAGGTTGAGTTTGTTTTTCTCTACGGTTTTTTCTGAACAAATATGAAAATTGGCGTTAACTTGCACACCAAGATTATAATATTGCGAGGTCAATGTTAGGATCCTAAAAATTCACTACACAATACGTTTAAGACGAAACTGCAAATATATTTTTTTAACAAATATTAATCTGAAAATTCATTTTTAATTTTCTTCCAGTACAAACTACCTCAAGTTAATGAGGGAAAAAATTTATTGCTGTTGTCACACCTTTGCCGGGAATCGAACCCGGGACCTTTGGTTTTACGCACCAATTCTCTGTAGCTCAAAACTACAAAAGGGGGACAACAGCAACAACGACAAACCATACTTATTAGGTCACAGATCTATCGAATTTGAGATAGCTTGTAGTGTTAAAAAATTAAAATTAAAAATGAATTTTCACCCCTATTAAATTTCAAAGTGTTTCATATTTATAGTATCAATATGTTATAGTATATATTAGTTCGACGGATTTGTGACCTAATAAGTACGGTTTGTCGTTGTTGCTGTTGTCATCTCTCCTAGCTTAGTGGTGAAAGCATTGGCGCGTAAAGCCAAAGAGCCCGGGTTCGATTCCCGGCGGGGGTGTGACAACAGCAACAAATTTTTCCTCATTAATTTGAGGAAGTGTGTAGTGGGCAAAAAAGAATTCAAGAAATGAATTTTCAGAATAATATTTCGTATCAATATGTTTTAAATTTGGATTTCTGAAAGAAATGAGATATTTAATATTTATGCTAATTCGCAATAACTGTATGTAATCAATTCTGGTTTTACATCGCTTTTTTGTAATGCATTGCTCACTACAGGATTTGTCTTCGTCTGCAACATATGCATTCTCACAAAATTAATTGAAAACAATTAAAAATTTATTTTGTTATAATTAATTTATTTTTGTTTCTGTTTCAGACCTTCACATTTGCTGCCAATTTGCCTTCATCTCCATTAAGTAAGTGCCTAGTTACATATTTTTTGAGATTATCCAACTTTATCTTATTTATTTCAATTAACTTTTATACAAGGTACTTCTGAAATAAGTGGAGGGTGTTAATTAGATGTGATAGGGAATAGCATGATGAGTAAGGCAACGTGGTTAAGAGACAAAAAATTGTAAGAAAGTCATACGAAGTTGGGCTTGAATCGGTAGGTTAAGGATGTTTGGGGGTATGTCAAAATGCTACGAGACAAAAATTTGGAAGAACGTTCCTCATTCAATTCTAAAACTCCTGTAAAAATTACAAATCGATTCACTAAACCGTTAAAAAGTTATTGAAATTTTTAAAAATTGTAATTTTACACGTCATTTTATGGAGATTCGTTAACCGAACACATTAAATGTATTTTTATTAACAGAAAAAAAACTACCATTAATTTTAAACTTTTATATCTTACTTGAACTCTGGAGAATCACTTTAGTGTAAGGTTATTCAAATTCACTAAATGCTTATCGAGGAAAAATGAAAAATTAGCTGAAAATCTCGTTTTTACATGATAATATAATGATAATATTTATAATTGTGTGAAATAAATGCAATTTTAAAGTTTTAATTATTATTTAAACATATTAAAAAGTTTTACGCTCATTATTAATAAAGATTGAAACTAAATATTTTTTGTTTCCAAGTTGAAATCAAGGCATATTCACTGCCAAAAGTCAATTAAAAATTTTCCATATTATTCGTTATTTTCTGTTTTATTCAATGTTCTTGGTCAAATTCCAAATTTTCTCTCAAACCCTATACTTTTTTTTTAGTATAGATAGTATTTATTTACCTCATGATATGCTGCAAAACCTAATTAATCACGAATTTCTAATTTTACGTACTCTTGTCTCCGATTGTACCTCCCACACATACTTAACGTAGACAAATTGCGATAACAGTTAAGCAATTACATCGATGAAAAATGCAAACAGTGACGGTTCTGTTGAATTCCGGACAGTACCTACTTCGTGACAATTCTGTAGTTTCCTCTCATTTTCTTTTTCTTTGTGAAAGGAAGCGTAATCGATCAATAAAAGATCCTCGTAACTCAGGTATAAATAACGTGCCTGCAATACATCATCACTATTCATTCTTTCAATGAATTTACGATCGATAGTGAATTAAAATTTACACTAGGAGCCATTAGAAGTGTTGTTAAATCGATGCTTGCAACAAACGTGTGCTAGCAATAACTACAACAGGCGCATTCGTATTTGTTTACGACTGTGAATGAAGAAACGGTGAAGGCAATAAGTATCACGGTTGGTAATAACAACATGACGGCATCGGCATTTTAATTGTAATATCCAGTAGGTATTATACATTAAGTACCTAGGTATATGTAATATGTAGATACGTCAGAGTGGCTCTTGCGTGAAAATATATTATTTAAGAATTCTCTTAAAGAGTGTTTATTAAAACGTCTAATTAAGAGATGAAGCTAACCAAGCGACATACTTTCTGCTCTCTTTACTGTTTTTTTAAATTTTATGGACGGTTTTTACATGTCATTACGTGTGAGGCACTAAATTAAGCTCCTTATCTATAGTCTTTATGGTAATCACAATACCAATGGTATAATCCACCAGTCACTCGTTAAAAACTTTGACCGTCACTTTTTACATTTCGCCTGGAGCAGTCTGGAGCTCCATCCCTAGTTGTATAGCACTGTAGGTACATGATGAATAGAATGATGACGATATAAACGCGATCAAAAGGTTCATGTCATTCTTAACTTCCTATTCCTTACATAATTTGAATATTTTATAAACTGATTAGCATTTAACAAGGAGGAGTTAGAGATAGCTTTAAATAAAATAGAAGTGGTATTGACAAAAGAGTACTGTATGAAAATAAATAAAAGTAAAACGGAAATACTGGTATGCAAGGGAAGCAAAAGTAGGAAAATAGCGAATATAAAGATATGAGACGAAAAATTAGAAGTTTTAGGTATCTAGGAAGTCAGATAAGCCAGGACGGAAGGAATAGTAGGGATATAAACCAGAGATAGCGCAGGGTTGAGTCGCCTTCAATAAAAAGAAGTCACTTCTATGCTCGCGAACGGCTAATTTAGAAATAGATTGGAACACGGCGCTGTACGGGTGCGAAACATGGGCAGTGAGCGCGGAGGAAAAGAAAAAGTTAGAAGCGTTCGAAATGTGGTGTTACAGACGAATAATGAAGATCCTATGGATAGTGAAGGTTAGAAATGAAGAGGTATTAGAAAGAATAGGAGAACAGAGGACTTTATGGAACTCAATAAAAAATAGACGAGATAAGTTAGTAGGACACCTCAGGCATGAAGGTCTAATCAGAGACATAATAGAGGCAGAAACGGGAGTTAGGAGAGGTAGAGGTAGACCTAAATTAGATTACTGTTCGCAGTTAGTTAAGTATATGGGTTGTTCTAGTTTTAGGGAAATGCGAAGATTAGCTTCGGATAGGAAAGAGTGGAGGTACGTGTCCAACCAGTCTTAGGACTGACGACCTTATGATTTGATGATAAACTGATCTAACTTCCAACGATTACAAGTATATATTTTATTCGCTGTGGGAGGCGATGTAATATGAAAGTAATCTTATAATATGCGGGAAACTTAAAGTCGCTCCCGTGCTAACATTTCATTTCCGTCCCGACGCTTTTAGCAAAAAATTAAATTAGTATTATTCGTAAGACAGACAAGAAAACTCTGCCCATATTTCTCGAGAAAAACTGCTGATATATGTACAATTTTGTAGTATATAATCACAAAAATCATTTATTTACTTGTCGATCTTCCTAAAGAAAGAAGTGTCATTAAATATCAGTGAAAACGTGAACGGTATCGTTAGGTCTGAGATACGGGAGTCTAAAAAACACTTAATAAAACTTGCTACGTCTGATTTTGTTCTGTATTCAGTGCACAAGAGACTTAGCCTAGATGAAAACTACCTTCTACCCTTGATTAGTATGAATTGCTTTCTCGAAATCCACAAAAATATTTTGTTATAAAAACTGATATCCTAATAGTTTTGCACATTCAATGACACATTTGATGTATTTAATACAGGTCTCTGCAGACTTATCGGGTGATTTAAAAAAATATGAGAGGTATACATATAAATCTGTCGCGCTTCAAACACACACCTTTAACAATCTTTTTCGAATTTCTTAATTAACCATTCGCGAGCATAGAAGTGACTTCTTTTCTGCGCTATTCTCTGTTTTAGATATATCTTGAGTTATCTGATTTCCTAGGTACCTTAAATCAGCCACTCATTATATTCGCTCTTTCCCTACTTTTCCTTCCCTTCCATACCAGTATTTTTGTTTTTCTTTTATTTATCTTCATACAGTACTGTTTTGTAAATACCGCTTCCATTTTTATTTAATTTAATGCTATCTTTAACTCGTACTCACTAGAAAGCAGAAAAAGAAAATGGAACTGAGCAATAAAAAATCGCTTTCATTCAATCGTGTGATTCTTGAGGTAACTTCCTGGGTTGTTACTACGTTGGGAGGCTTTAATGGTTTATAAAACACCCTGTACTTACACATACATATAAATTCTGCGTACGATTGTGGTTAGGAAACGCACAATTGTTCCGGCCGTAGTGAAGTGTCGATTAGTATTCCAAAGCACGTTATATGTTATGCGGTTCCGTCGATTGTTTCTGCTTTAAACTTTCCTGCAGTTGATTGTGACTCATTTTTCGGAAATGTTAAGTAATATGTTTAAATATACACCTTACAACTTTCATTTATAAACGCGTTGCATATAATGAAAGAGGTAAATATTTGGATACGTAGAAATACCGATTGTAACATCGATCTATACTTGCTATATTTGTGCCTATCCATAAATTAGAATTTGCGACACAAGGAGAAAGCGAAGAGAAAAGATTATAATAAGATTTTTAGTTTTTTAAAAGATATCAACCGGCATTATCGCCCTTTACAACATAAAAACAAAAAATATATTCAAAATTATCGTAAGGTGCTTTTTATAGTATTGTATGTCCATAATTCACATATGGTTTAGAAAAAAATTAAATTTCGACACAAAATTAACCTGTCTGATATTTTTAAAAAATAAAATACAAAAGGTTTGGACCATATTGAGTGATTTATATAGTCCTATTCAAATCCCTTTGAAACTTTGACTGATTCACAGGAATTTCCACTTAAACAACTTTATATTGTCAGCAAAAATACGAATTATGAAGTACAATTGTTGTTCAGTAATAACATTTACAAAAATTATAAATAGCAGTGGGCCTAAATTTAAACCCTGTGGAACGTCAGACGTAACTAGAAATGAATCTGGTACAGTAAAGTTTGGTTTTGTCGTGCGGATTCAAACCTCACTCAGTTTATGAATTAAATCAAAAACAGCAAAAATATATTATACAAAAATAACCTAAAGGAAAAAACTTTGGAAATTACTCAAAATGGTATATTTATTGGTCAAGCCGTTTTGTGTTTAAATGAAAAAAATTCAAAAAAGTAGATTTAGAGATTTTTTGAAAATTGTTCTTTTGTTTATTACTTTATACTGGTAAATTGGTCGAGTGAACCTTTTAAAGATCGTTAAATATACTGTGGGATAAGTCTTTAACTCTCTTAAAATTAGTATTCAAGTATGTAAGTCGCTGTTTGTATAACAAATAAGTAATTAATGTGGGAGTTACTAAGAAAGCGAACTGTAAATTTGAAAGGTAATTAAGTAAACGTGAAAGGACCATTTAATGCTCTCGCTATGTATGCTTTTTATCTTGATTTAAAGAATTATATGTGAAATTTCCTAATCGTAATTCTTTTTTTCGGGAGTGTTTATAAGATTTGGTACATTATTAAAAAGAATCGCGACCTTGTATAGATAAGTATTAACTCGGATAATGCTTTGTGGCTTTCGTTTAGTAGCAAACGTTTTAAAAATATATTACTGTTGATATACATATAATTCTGTTACCGTATTCAAGAGTTCTGGTACTATAGTAAAGATCAAAATCGGTTAATTTGTTTTCGATGCTATCTTTCTGTTTCGGCCAAAAACTGTTTTAGGATTTTTAGGATTCTGTACCTTAAAATAAAATAGGAATTCTCATACGATCACTTTGCTGCTCGTCTATCTGTCTATCAAGACCCTTTTTCTCAGAAATGCGTGCAGGTATCAAGTTAAAATTAATATCAAATATTTTGACACTCCCTAGGGTACCTTTAGGGTACATTCTGCTGACTTTGAATTAAGAAATTTGACAAGATGCAGCGTCTTAGCACAAGTAAAAGGAAAAATCGGAAAACTTTAAATTTGTAGTTACTAAACAAAAGAAATATTTTTTAAAAGTGATATTGTAATTATAAGTTTTGGTGATTCATTTTGGAGGGAAACATACTTGGAAAAAGCAGGAAAAGATTTCGAGATTTGTACAAGTTTGCAAAAAACTCGCGGTATTAACCGACCAGATTGAAATAATCCAAAAACGTCCAGTAACATTTCATATAGTTCAATCATCATCATCATAAGGTTGTCTTTCCTCTCTTGAGATAACTTTCGCATTTCCCTAAAACTAGAACAACCTACATCATTAACTATTTGCGTACAGTAATCTAATCTAGGTTTACCTCTACCCCTCTTAACTCCCGTTTTTGACTCTAATATGTCTCTGACTAGACCTTTATGCTTGAGAAGGTGTCCTACTAACCTATCTCGCCTATTTATTATTGATTTCCGTAGAGTCCTCTGTTCTCCTATTCTTTCTAATACCGCTCCATTTTTAACCTTCTCTATCCACGATATCCTCATCATTCTACGGTAACACCACATTTCAAAGGCTTCTAACCTTTTCTTTTCCGTTGCGTCCACTGTTCATGTTTCGCACCCGTGCAGTGCCGTGCTCCAAACCCCACCTTTAACAACCTTTTTTGAATTTCTAAATAATCCGTTTGCAAGCATTAAAGTGACTTCTTTTTATTGAAGGCGATTCTACCCTGTACTATCCTCTGCTTTATATCCCTACTACTCCTTTCGTTATGACTTATCTGACTTCCTAGATACTTAAAATCGGTCACTTCTTCTAATTTTTCGTCTCCTATCTTTATATTCGCTCTTTCTCTATTTTTTCTTATTGCTGATCTTGTTGACCGTAATTTCTGAATCAAGTGAGTGAATAGTGCAAAATCGGTATTAATTCAAATTTCAACGTAAAAGTAGTGGTTAACCGACACACTTTATTTCCAATTGAACTTATTACTTACCAGCAAATTATATCGTGGAAGAGTATAGATCTATAGATACATTGTTTTTCTTCTTACAGCTTCTGAGGTAAATCTGGTCTTGTTTTTGCAGATTCACATCAGGAAATTATTACCGATGTTCGAGTGGATTGTAACAGCGATGAAATTGTGGTAAAAGTTTTTACCGATTCTGGAAGATTTAATGGCATGATTTATCCTCGAGGTCTTTCAAAAAACAGCTCGTGTTTCATAGAATGGGCTCAGAAACCCTCTCCAGTTCAGTATGTTCTACCTCTACGAGCTTGTAACACCATGAGTACAGAATTGGTAAGTTCATTTGTACTTAAAGGACATTAAAATGAAATTTCATCAAGAAGGCTGAGTTGATAACATCAATTTCAGTTTTATCATTCAATGTGTTTTTTAAGTTTAGTTAAAATTTTATATACTCATTTGTTTTATTTGAGAACTCATTTGCATTTTTAAGGAGCAACTTTATGTAAATTCTTGGAATGATATTAATTTCAATACATATTTGTCATTACTTTCAATAATATACTTGTACTTTTACAACTAGAAATCTTTTCTAACTTCATTATTTTTTTGTTTCATTCGATATGCATTTTCATGACAAATTGTTTCTTCTATTTAAATTTCTATTAATTTTCATTGGAACGATATTCAACGACTCGACCTTTTGAGCGGAAGTAATATACCACCATAATTTGTCACTGCGACACATTATATTATGGAAAACATAAAAAAGAGCGGTTAGAGAGGAGAGGTTAGAGAGGAACATAAGGTTACGGTAGGAAAAGTCTACACGAACGAAATATGATTTATGTTATCTGACATCGTGATATAAGATTGAGAGTTATTAGCGGTGAGCTTAGCAGCAGTAATGTAAATTTTTTACAAACGATGTTTTTGGAACAAAAATTAAAAAGTGTGATTTTAAAGAAGAAACACTCCATAACTCAAATTTTCTCAAACTCTGACATAAATGGTTACATTAAGAAGTTGGGGAAATTTAACTATATTTTCTTGTGAGTTTTTCATAAGCAAACTATAGTACCTTATACTGAAAATTGAAAACAATTTGATGAAATTACATTTTTTTAAATTGCCAGTTTGTCTCTATTCGTAAATCCTACCTCTGTACGAAAGGATTCTTTCAATTTTATTACGTCCTCCTGATTTATTAGGACTCAAGTCGAAGTTTTCCTGTTGAGTTAGAAATTGTTCAGCTGAGGTTTGCCCTAAATAGAGGTTTTCGATATTTTAGTCAACCTAATCATGATTTTTATACATTAAAACGAATTTATATCGACTATACTTGGAATAATATTTATAAAACTAACCAATATAATTGAAATGGTTCATGCAGGAAAAAAAGAACCTTAAAGAAGATAAAGACCAAGGGAAACGTAAAATAATTTGAGTTATTGAGGTTTTTATTTACTAAGGGTTTAAGTTTAAGCTTTAAAATTATGGATTTCCAATGACTTAGCAAACTCTTTAGCTTTTTCCTCTAGTGTAGGTCCAATAATACTAATGTTTTACATATTTTTACACTGTCTAAACCATATAAATAAGCATTTTCCTAAATTAGGAAATTCAGTAATTCTTCGTCTTTCACATAGAAGACTTTCTCCCGATTCAAACCACTTTTCACTGCTTTCTGAGGTACGATGCCCAAATGATTCGTTTAAGTTATTGAGGGTTTTTATTTTAAGTGATAGAGGTTTTGGACTCCGAGGGGAAGGAACACAAAATTTTATGAATTTATAGAGGCTATTACGTTGTCGAGGTTTAAGGTATCAAGGTTCTACTGTAATACTTTTGTGTTATTTCAAGTTTCGTCTCTTAATCGATCGTTGAAGTCTCCTGCGCTACGAAATGAATAATTTAAATCAAGTAACGAAACTAAACTGTTTTCCAGCGGGAAGTTTCAGTCAGTAATGGGTCCGATTTTGTGATTCCCAAATGATGTGATAAGATAATTACTTGAATAATTTTATTGCTATTATTTTAATTGTGCTTAATACCTACAGATTAGTGACAGAGTGATCGCCTTAATGTTGGAATAGGAATTTAGGTACACAGTTGTTTTGAATAACTTACTCTTGCATTAAGTCGACACACTTATTAAATCTGTTATGGTGTAACGTAATTTTTCGATACGATAACATTTACAAACAGCTTTCGCTTCCTGATGATATAAAGAAGCTTCATATTATTTTATGATGGTATTAAAGTTGACACTACCACAAGTGAAAGCTAGAAGAATATACATTTGGCCCGGTTTTTGCACAGCCAAAATGTTTTAATTATGTAATTATTATAAACTGTAGTGCTTTTTTTGGAAATGTAGTACATTAACCTTTATAAACAAGAAAATCAACTGTCATGATCGTATGTTTCATAAAAAATTGTTAAGCAGTTTTACTTGTTGTTGGCATTTCAGTATTTACTTACTAACTAACGAAATTTAAAGAATTAATCTTTGCGTGGATTAATAAGTTTTGAGAAAAAATCGTAAGAGGCTAAGTGGTTTAGTAACACATGAATTTATATCTTGCGTTGCTTCTTTGTAAATTATATTGTCAACGCTACACTAAATAACTCAAATCATAACAATTTTTCAAATAATAATTACAAATATGAATAATAATAGTCAGGGGATGCAGTTCAAATATAAAATATGTAAAATGCAAAACGATTTCCTATTTCAAGGAGTAAATGCTTCAGTTACAATTTTACAAATCTTATTTAAGTTAAAACAGTTCTTAATATTGTCATAAATCTCATTTTTGTCCTTTAAAAATATCTATTCGAAAAATTAAAGAAATCAGGGTTTTTTTCGGTTTAAAAAGAATTTAAAAAATTTCTACTTGGATTAATTTTATTATGAAGATATTCTCTTCTCAAATTGACTCGAAAACTGTGAAATTTCTACCATGGTTTATCCAAATATACTTCAATAGAAATTCAAATTTAGAAAAATTAGGTTAGGTTAGGTTAGGTTAGTTCTTCCCTTTGTCCCTGGCCATTTTTATTGCTCCACTATGACATAGTGTCGGCCATTATTCTTTTCTAATTGTTGCAGTTATCGGCCATCATTCTTTTTCAATTGTTG